TCTTCCGTACAAAAATACACCTACAAATCACGATAGCATCGCTACGGCCAGCCCTCGCTGCTGCTGGATCCCGCATTAACGGCAGTAAGTAGGCGGCTTTCAGAGTGGACTTTTTTCCCAGCGATATGCAGGACTTCTAAAGGACAGTCGCTCTCAGAACCAGGAGAACTCTGTTGAAAATGTCGTTTTCAGCCACTTTGCATGCCGAAGTTCTGCAAACTGCTCCCGTCACTCAGAATGCCTTAAAAACACTGGAAGCGTTACGATTCAGGAGGGTGATCTGTAGTCAGTCTAACCCCATCCCAAAGTCTGTCGCAGTACAAAGCAGCAAGCGAACTTTGTGGGAAGAAAAACACAGAGCCAGATTTAAGATGCTGTGAGCACTGTTACTGAGGCTGTGGAACGCGGGGGCCCACAGGCTGCAAGGTGACAATAATCTCCGACCACTAAGCTGTGCCCAGTAGTTTCTGTCAGCAGAAACAAAATACAGAATTGAAGTTTTCTTAGAAGTCAGGATAGCTCTGTGAAGGAAAACTGTGTTAACAAAACACCTGCAGGGGATTTAATGTACAGAAAGATTCAGTAACAAGACAGCTGCTTTGTTATTGCCCTTGGGAAATAAGTGAAAAGAGGTAGGAATAAAAATTGAAGCTAGATATTTTATTAAGGCAGATTATTGTGCCTAGGAAGGTACTTGAAACAACCTGTCCTGTCTTTGTTCTTTTAATGGTCTACTCAGTTGTCCAGTGACCATAGATAAAGTGGGTAAAAATGTTATTTGCATCTAATCTGTTCTGTGAAACTTAGCAAAAGACTTACGTGACTGGTTGGGAGAGGCTGGACAGGTAACTCTATTCCATGAGACACATATTTAATGTCTCAGACCAGCTCATTCTAAACTGTTGGCTGTAATGAAGTAGTTTTTTTTCCAGTATACAGAAGCAGTTTTGGGAACAATTTAAAAAAAAAAAAATCCTTTTGCAGTCTGTAAAATTTCTATGATAGGTAAGAAAATTCCAGCTGCCGTGTTGTGGTGTGTAAACTCTCCACAGGTTGCAACCAGGAAATCAGAAGTCGGGTGAACCACAGGGGTAACGTTTTATCTGTACGATACACTCCACAAATAGAGTTGTTTGGTTACTTCATTACTGACACATTATCAGGCTTCTTGATTATTTCATGTCTTAGCGTATTTCTTCCCAGAAAACAGTTTGTCATAAGCCATTGCACTTCTGCGATTCACAGAAGTTCACAGTACAGCTGATACTAGTATTCTGCATATAACAAAACTAACAGTCTTCAAGGGTGTCTCATAGCTGAGGCAAATGTGAGGCCTTTTTGAAATTACTAAAATGAGATTTGAAAATAATGGAAGTTACAATATTAGAGAGAACATACTGTGCTTACAGTATATATTTGCAAAAAGAAGTGGAATCTTCAAAAGCATTTGGTAAAAACAACACGCTTTGCTCATTAGGTTGGTTGTAGGCTTCCGAAATTCCTGGGGTTTTTTTCTAGCTACACCCCAGCACCAATAAATCACTCACATGTGTTGAGAGATGGATTTTAGTTAAAGCATAGCTTTCTGCCTTTACCACAACGTAATATTTTCCGTTATCATTACACACAGAATGAAAAATGACTTAGAGAAGGTTGCATAACTCTTGTCTGTCTCAGAGCCATAAGCATCCTTTGTGGGAAACAGGCTGGATTTCACTAGTTCGCAAAGTATTTGGAAATTTGCAGAAAGATGGCTTGAGTGAAAAAACCAGCCAAACAAAAAACCCCAAACAAAACTTTTAAGTGATTTTTCACACTTTTTCTGACAAACTTAAAACATTAAAATACAGGAATAAACAGATTTCATCTGAAATATGCCCGCATCTGACACTAGGCACGCAGCCTTGTCTTGCACCATCATGGGTGGAACGGGAAGAGATTTATCTTTCAATTAGCCTAACATACTCCAGACTGGGCTATGCTGCCAAGCCCATGATCTCTGTAGATTTCAACATAGCAAGTGCTGGGATATTGTTTTCAGGCTCTTGCTTCTTCAATACCTTTATCTGAGCATCTCTTCTACAAGAATAAAAGTCCATTTGAATACGTGTAACCTACACAGAAAATTGCTAACTGAAATAATTTCAGTGGTTCAGAGTCTACCTCCAAGTTGTAGCATTTCAGCCAAAGAGAGATACCAGATAATTATCCCACATAGAAAACAATGGTATCGTTCTATCCCAAGGAATTAAAGCTTGACAGAAGCAATAATAGTTCTTACGCTTCAGTCCAAAACACTGGGGTTTTTTTTCCTGATTGCTGGATTGATTTTTTTATTTGGTTTGCTTGCTTTGACAGGGACAGGTACAATGACAAGTTGAAGGCAGTGGTCATGGCTGCTTTTTGAGAGACCCCTAATGCTGCCAGATACATAGTATTAAAATTACTCTGATCCAACTTTTTTTTTTAAAATCTTCAGGATGTAAGAACATAAAGCCCCAGTAGCTGTTAACAGTCCAGATGCAGCCTCAAGCCAATGGCTAGAAAGAATTACAAACAGTAAGAAGATAAGGAAGTGAAGAATTTAGATTGTTACCTCAAAAACAGCAGCAGCACTCTCCCCTCCAGCAAAAGAAAAGGTGTCATTTTGATACCAAGTAAACTGGCTCCAAATAGCTGTTTCCAGGACTTCACCATGAATACCAGAATTAGTTATGTGAAACCTCCTGTTTTTTACTGTGATTTAGCAAGACTAGGATAAGCACACACTTTCAGTTTCAGCACCTTTATTTAGGAAGTAGCACTTTGGTTTAAGAACTTGAGTTATGTCCTTCAGAAACTAAATGACGTATTTACATATTTATTGTTCCATCATCTGCTATACAACACCTGATTTTTTTTTTTTTTTTTTTTTTTTTTTTTAAACCAGCAGCTATTTAATAGGCTTCAAATTTCATGAAAAGGCTCTTAGTTTTGGACATTTTAGCTGATAAACAGACAAGAAAACAGTAAGAACAGGACAAATGCAACATTTTATTGTGAAGCTAAAGCTATGTGACTGCTCATCATGCTTTTGTACATTGTTTATTAATAAAGTGGTGTTTAACATTTCAGAAAACATTCTTAGAAGAACAATGAAACAAAATTGCTTCAAACCAACGAAATACAAGAATTAACCCCATCCTAGACTGGAGTAGTCCAGTATATTTAATGGGGGCGGGGTATAATGTTTTGTCTCCACCTTTGGTTTTTGTCACTTTAATCCAGATTTCTGAAAAATACTGACTAGCCCTTCACCTGAACAACCATTTGAATCACGCGGCAAAAACAGTTTCTGTATTTCCAGTCTCTTTGATAGGTGTGCGAGTGTTGAAGTACTTTCCTCCCCACTTCGAATGGTAAAAAAACCCTGCAGATCCCAGAGGCTACGCCCCAGCATATTAGAAGAATATGCCTGTATTAACCAACTATAAAGAACCTTTTTCCTCAAAGCCGCTTCTCTGAGACAGGATTTTAAAAAAATGTCTTGGGAAGGTGAGGAAAGTCTTACAGGAAAACAAGGTTGATCACCACAGTGTCCAGACATCATGTCAAGAATTTGCAAATGAAAAGATCAAACTCTGAAGAACCCACAGTGCTTAGCCAATGTATTTAATTTGCTGGAGGAGTGTACACCTTGCCAATTATTGCCAAACTCAGGAGGTAGTTATTGACAAAGTAAACAGTTTCCATTCTAACACAGTTAACAATTTACATGAGAAGCAGGAAGAACACAATACACATTTCCCCATACTTCAGAAGATGATTTTGTATTTGCAGGAAGCGACAGTTTAACTTCCTCATCCTGTGGAATTATAGTTTCAATATTTTCAAAAGAAAAAAATATCAAAAAGAATAAAGAAAAAATTCTAGAAGAAAATAACTGATCCATTGGTCATCTCTTAGGATGACCAGCAGATTCATCCTAACCATGAAAATTCACATAGGTGAGTAAACCAACATCCTTCAGCACTAAATAGCAGCTCAAGAGAACTTAACAATGAAATCAGCAACTGCCTCTAATTAGCACAACGACCAAGAAAACTAGTTGCATTCACTACCCGCTTGCTACGTTTTGTTCTGTGTTTGATATCTGGTAGAAGTCCCCAACACAAAACCTCACAAAAGCTTGAGACCGCCACAGACAACGAATGAAGATTTGTAACCTACAATAGCTCTCGCCACCTCCCAACGCGTCCCTGAAGCACTGGAGGAGCTAGATGAGCATGTCTTGGGCACAACTAGGGCACAATCCATGCCTTGGGTAGGAAAGCCCTGTAAGGCTCTAGGGCAGGGTTTGACCGTAGGTGGAAGGAAGCCCAAGTAGAACACTGCTTTCCATACCAGTTGCAGAACAGACATCTCGGTTAAATTTGCCAGCGTATCTGACTGCAGTATTCCCAGTGCAAAGTACTTAAATTTCAGAAGATGGATGTGGCAGCAATGCCGAGCAGTGCTAAAACCCACTTGTTTAGAATAGGAAAACTACTATTTATTCTACACCAGAAGGTAAGGTTAATTGTCTGAGTAAGTTCTATGTATAAAAACTGTCCTCTTAAACACATTTGAGAGAACCTAACAGTGAACTCAGTAATGGCCTCTAATTAGCACAGTGACAACAAATTCCTTCTCAGTTCAGAGACCCCATTCTTCTCCATTTCCAAGTGTTACTATCATATGTATTATCTACATAAAGTAAGTTGCAGCACCATATTCAAGAAAACTTTATTAGTGACTGACTTTCTGAAGTAAGAGTCAGATGTCTCAGGGGCAGAATGTCTATTTCTAATACACTGAACGCCGTGAAGTCTAAGAAACTAACAGGACAGAGACTTACAGGTGCATAAATATCCTAGTTTAACGCTTATCTCTAATATTCACTGTTGGTTTTGTCTTCACTGTAAGGCAAGAACATGTACAGGTTTGGTGTACCATACAGAAAAGTCAGCATTAGTAAAGGGAACATTGTTTAACACAGGACAAATTTTCATTTTAAGGAGAAAGAAGCATCACACAGTGCTTTGAGTTCCCCCCCCCATTACGCCACCAAAAGCAGCAACCCGCTGCCTGAGAAGACACTGTTCTTCCAACACACAGAAAGATAAAAGGTGCATTTCCTGCTCAATAGAGGCAAAGATGTATGAAGAAGGTTGTTAAAAAAACAGGGAGTTTAGGGGTTGGTTTGATTTTTTTTTTCCCCTCCCTCCAATAACTGCCACACTAAGTCAGCAAACACTTGCAGAGGGCCAGAGAAGCTCCTTCCTGATCGCCTCAAAAAAGTGGGTCAAGTCACTCATTCATTAACAGTGGGCAGATTCATGAAAAAAAAAAAAAAAAAAAAAAAAAAAGGCAGTTTAGAGAGCTAATGCAATGCCAATCTTTGCAAAGGTTAAAAGCCTCCAAGCTGCTATCCTGCTTATCCTAATTCAAGATACCGTATTAGAACATAATCTGATTTTATGGTAAGTATAGTTGCAAAGTTCTATATAAAAATACCATAGATTTGGGAAATACAGGTATTTGAGTGGTTGGGGGGGTGGCACAAGGGAGGGGTGTTTGTTGTTCGCCCCCAATCTGCTTTCATACACAGTTAATCTAATACATAGATGAAAATCACCAAGCTGGGACTTGCTCAGTACACGTAAAACAAGAAACCAGAAGATGTGAGACAATCCCTTAAGTGGAACAGGATTATTCTTAAAGACACTATTCAGAAAATAGCGCAAGACAGACATTTAAAGGAGAATTATGAACCAAACAGCACTCGATCATGGGCTAAAAATCCAGCAGCTGTGGGGCAAACTGATGTTGCAGAACAAAATTAAGTTCTTACTAATGTGTTCCAGAAGTAATTTATAGAGCTGTAGTTCATCCATGATGCAGAAAACAATCGGGGCTGAATAGATAACCACCAAGCGGTGGTACCAGTCACACAGATTCCCCTGACCTGAACTGGCTGTACCAACAAGTGAAAGGGCTACTCCCTTTCCTTTCTGAAGCAGCAGCTTGGACTTCTGACTCTTGGTGGTGTTTCAGCAGATGGGAACTTCTACCTCTACATTTCAGGTACCTATCACATGCCAATAGGTATGTATTTGAAATAAATACCGGTATATTCCTCAAAAGTAAGTGGAGGAAAAGAGAGTTTGATAACAAATGCTTACGAACACTCAAAACCAGAAGTGTTACCCTCAAAGTTCTCATTTGCAAAGGATCTCAAGGGAAGTTTACGAGCTTTATGAATAGGAACACCAAGGGCATTTCTTAGCTATTTGGCTGATAATAAAATTTGCTAATAAAACAGTAATATTTGTGCTTAGTGCTATGAAGTCTATGACAAATACAATCAGGTCAGCTAGGAATCTCCAACAACAGCGATGGTCTACTGAAGGCAGAACTAAGGCAAAGCAAGCAAGATGTGAAACTTATGAAACTGGAATCTTTTAGCATTTCTCACTTCTCCAAGAAGGTGAATCGGGGGAACAGAAGTTGCGCGTTTCATTTACATCAGACATACATTTGAGAGCGTCATACCCTTAGAAGGCTAGAAGTGATTTGGTTAGACTATTTCAAAAGGCATACTAGCAGAACACAGTCTTCTCTTATGTAATTGCTTTGAATCTTAAGATCAGTTAAAAGCATCTCTCATTCCAAAAAACAGAATCCCAAACGTATTGCATCTGTGCGTCTCAAAAGTTTGACACAGTTTCTGCTATTTAGTACCCAATACTACACAGCGAGCACACAGTCCTCTCTGGGTATTACTGTACTTACACTGTATCTATCAGCTAAGGTTTTTTTCATATATATATATATATTATTTATAGTCAACTTTCAGGTGAGTAGTCCCAGAAATATTTGACTTACTCCTACCAATAAAAAATAAATTAAATGAAAAATTAAGAACAAAATTTTCTGTTAAGACCAAAAGCAAACAAAGCTTATAACTGAATTCAGTTAAAACAATTGTAAACAACATGCACTTTTGTAATATCTGGTAATAAACTGGTAGAGTTGTCTTTTAAACAAACAAAGAAAAAAAAACCACCAAAAAACCCCACAAATCTGCTCTAACAAGGAACTAGTGTTCTGTCTTGCAAACATCTGTGTTTAATCCATGTACAATTTGTAAACAAGATGTCAGGCCTTTAGAAGTAAAGGCAAACATGTTTTCCTTTATTACAGTATGTAAAGACTATCACTTAAGTGGTTTTTTTTATTATAGCTTGTAATTTATATAATAAAAACATGTATTTGTACAAAGATGCAGTTTCTTTTTAAAAAAGCAGATCAGTTGAGTGTTTCATACTTTAATATATAAACCAAAACATATGAAAGCTATAAAAACATTAATGTGTGCCATGTATTAAACATGTAGCCTCGTATTTTAATGCTTACATGTGTAGATTAAAAAAATTATCACAATGGAAATTTTACTTTCAATTATCATAAACAGACCAAAATACAGAGTAGAAACACGTCATTTCTGAAACTTGACAATTAGCATCACTTACTCTCTCAAACATCAGCTGGGCTTCAAGTTGTACACCATAAGCGTAAGCTAACATTCTACCAATGGAAGCGTTACAAAATGCGTTAAGAGAAAATACTGCCAGTAAATGAATGTCTTAGTCTATTTTTTTATTTAGTAATTTATTTTTTTAAAGACAGTTTGAATTGGTTTTATAGGGTTGGGTTTTCTGCTGTTCTGCTATCAAAGGTCTTCTTTAAAACTGTTCTGTGAACAATACAGTCACATTACAACTAAACAAAAAGACTAATAATAACAGACCAGCTGCTTTTTATGTTTTAATAATCATAATTCCCCAATGCTGTTCTTCCTCTCTGCACAGGGAAACTGTTTTATTTGGCACATTAAGGATAAAAAAAGTCAAAAACTGAACCAAAGTTTACAAACCTCCAATTGAAAGTTAGTAGTTACACGGAAGAAAGCCAGACAACGTCATAGCTAAATTAAAAACAGGAAAAACACACACACAACATAGGGAAAAGGTTTTCCAATGATCGATATCATCAGAGCCTTCTAGCTGAAACAAAATGCATATATTATTGTTCAAACCATAATCGGATTGCTAGGAATCTTGTCTCAAGTCCTATTGTGCTCTTACTTACAGACTGTTAAATCCTCACTAAATGGCAAGGAGGCTTTGATGAACACACTTCACATTGTAAAATTTTTTCTTAATCTCAAGTTTTAATGCAGATACTTAAAGATCTGTAAAGTCCTGTAAACTCTGGCTGCCTTCCAGCAGGCTGTACCAATTGCTCCTTAGGCAGCACTTAAGTTTCACTTCAAGTAGTGTTTCACACTGTGGTATCTCCAAAGTCCTTGTTCCAGCGAATATAGGCTTCCAGGGTCTGGGGGCTCAAACTGCGCTTTATCTTCTTCAGAGACTCAGTGAAATCTGACAGTTTGATATTTCTCATCTAAACAAGAAGTGAAAGACATCAGGATCACAAGTGGTTTATGTACTTCAGTTTATTCAAGAAGTACTTCAGTATTCACTTTTAACAAAGCATATTCTACAAGCGCCTCATCTTCATAGAAGAAAGGAATTTTTTTACAGCGAGAACATTCACTGGAACAACCTCCCCAGGGACGTGGTAGAGTCCCTGTTGCTGGAGGTTTTCAAGATGCGATTGGGCATGGTGCTAGATAATCTCATCTAGGTTCCCTCTCCCACAAAAAGTTGAACCAGGTGATCCTTCAAGGGCCTTTCCAACCTGGGCTAATCTATCATTCTATAACCTGATACAAGAGTCTTGTAATTTAAGACTATCACTATTTACTGTTTTGAGTAAAGTAACCTTTGGTAATCATAACATCTGCCTTGTTATTTAACAGCCCATGAGGTTGTGTTATTACTTCCTCTTTCACTAGGTGGTGCAAGCTGGTGCATGTGAGGGCACAGAACTGAGTAAAGAGTAAGACATGGGATTTTTTAACATGTTTACGGCACACGTCTGCATACCAGGAGGGTAAGGCACTGA